GCCCGAAAAATCTCCCGGCTTCACGGTCGGAAGGTACTTTATCCGCCCACTAAATGTAAGGTATCGTTCAACATGACTCGAGGCCCAACAACGGTCGGTCCTTAATCGACACGCAGACGGAAACACTACAGTCCAAAACTCGCAAGTCTCCGTCCGGTCTCAACTTCATTTAACACTTAGTTATACCATGACTTCATAGTCATCCAAGCAGATCCAGTAACCACCTATAGCTCGCGGTGACAGAAATCACCCGACTTCTACCGGTCTAAGCCCGACTAAGCATTGACTCGATTGCGGATACCGGGGTAACAAGGATATAGCATAACAAAGGTAAACAAGGTATAATGCAAAGAACGGTTGCAAACAACTCCTGAACGTAATGCATCAATTAAAGTAAAGCATTTAATTAAATCATTGCAAACCGGGAGAAAAAATGCTTGGGCTTGCCTCTCTCGAAGGAGCTCTCGACGGTGATCGTGGCACTCTAGAAGTTCCTCAACGACCTCCTCGTTACTCGGCACTTCTGCGGTTGCACTCTCGAACTGCTCTCCTCGGGCTCCTCGGGTATGACGACTGGATTCTCGGTTTATGATCCCAGATGATGCAATGCGTAAGTGCTTATGCAATTGGTGCATCGGATGAGATGAATACAATGGATATGTTTGAATGCAAGGTAGTCAACATCATCCAAGAAAATATACTACAAGCACATGTCATCTACTGCATTCTCTTCTACTACTAATAGGTTAAGTCAACACATCTTATTAAATGCTTCAAAGATACACCAAAGTTAACATTATTAACTAACTTGCATTAAAGAGGATTATTTTATTTCATTTTAAACTAGGGCTACAACAGCAATCTATATTTCTGGTGCTTATAAAAATCTAAAAAATTACAGTAGCATAGTACTACTCTAAGTAGACTACCATAAAATTTTCATGGCGTTTGGATAAGTAAAATAGTCTACACAAAAATGACAAGGCATGGCAGGATTATGAACATAAAAATAGTTTGAACTGTGAAAAGTGTCAAACAACAGTGTTAGTATTTTTCCTAGGTTCTTCATAGCATACAATGACTGTACAAAAATTTTCACATGCATGTTTTATACAAAGTTTGCTCTCTAGCAAAAATAACAAAAATCAGCTATTAAAGGTGCTTGAACTACACCTCAAAATTTTCCCACAGCACATGCATGAAACATATTTTTCCTAGGAAATACATGACATAAGAAGATTAACAAACTTGAAATCATATTTTTCTGAAGCCTATAGATTTTTCTACATATTTTTCAAGTTATCAGCAATATTCATGATTAAATAAAATTCTACAGCAAAGTATCTCAAAAATGACATGCACAATTTTTCCCAAGTAGATCTGATGATAAAGAACCTAGACAAATTTATTTCAACAGATTTGGAGCAACTTTGAGTATCCAAACATTTTGCAAACCATATCTATTTTCAAATAATAAAGAATAAATTAAAAACAATTCCTTTAAACGCTACTAGGCCAGCCCGCTGGAATCAGCTGGCCCACGGCCGCTTTTGGCCTGCGCGGCCCGAACGCAAGGGAGGGGTAAGACGGCCCGGCAGGCGGCGTCGACCCACGGACCACTCGGCTGGTTGGTGGCGGCGAGGCTACTACTCCAGTAACTTACTGGCGGCTGCAGCCAGCATATTTCGGCCACGATGCCGGGCGGCCATCTCCGCCATGGCGAGGCGAATGGCGCGCGCACGGGATGCGCGAGAAGATGGCGAATCTTGGTAGGGCAGCTAAGCGGGCCGAGAAGAGAGGAGAGGTGACTTCCATGGCGGCCGAGCACGGCGGCGCCATGGCCGTTAATGGCGGGGCCGAGGCGGCTCTACATGAGCTCGGCAGGTGGCGCAAATGCGAGCACAACTTGAAGGAGGGCGAGGCGGAGCTGCGGGCGCGTGATTGCCGGCCGAGGTGGAGGAGCCACGGCGAATTGCGCCCACGGGTGCGTGGCGTGCATGGCGAGAGCGAGCTTGGGGCTCTCGGCTCAAGCGAGAGAGAAAAAGCAGCGGGGAGGGAGTGAGCGAGCGCACCGGCTCCAGCAGGTGTAGGCGGGCGCGCGGCGCTGGCCAAGGCCGGCCGGGCCGCGACGCGGCGGCGGCCGCGACGCGATGGTCGCCACGCCACGGCGGCACGCTCATGCATGATCGGGCACATGGCGCAATGTCACGTCAAAGGCAAGCGCGAGGCAGGCTGCCAACAAGGCCTGGCTGGGCCGAGGCGCAGGCGAGGCGCGCACGGCTGTCTGGGATGCTGGTGGGGCCGCTTGATTCGTGGGGCGGAAGTGGGCGGCGGCCCGCGAAGGAGGAAAAAGCCTTTTTCATTTGTATTTTCAAGGAATTTTTAAATGCCATCTTTCAAATATTATTTTGAGCAAGAAAATGACATCTTTTGAAAATGTACCAAAAATGAAAGTTGCTTAGAATTTAATTTTCTACAACTTTGCTTTTATGACCACAGCCAAATTCTTTCTAGATTTTGAATTGCAAGGTCAAAGTCCACGTTTAACTCAAAACCCTCATTTTTGGGAATTTATTTTTGAAGCCAAATTTTGAATTAATTTGAATACAAACTTTGCTCCAAAAATTGAACTAAACATTACTAGATGATTTACAATAGTAGCCAAACATGTTTTACTAACCTAGCAAGCAAAATCAGGGCAAAACAAGTCTAACAAAAGTATGCACATTCAGGTTTCACAACATGTTTCAAATGTTTCGAAGCAGTGTTTCAATTGTTATTTACATGATTAGGCATGTATGATTAGGATGCTTGATGATGCATGATATGTATGATTAGCAGTGCCTAAATGTAGGCATAACACCGGGGTGTTACAACACGGGGGCGAGATGATAAGACCAAAGTGCAGTCGGTCGGCCCCCGGGTACATGTGGTTCCTGGCAAACTCGAGATACCTGGAAAGTTGACTCGGTGATCAATATCTCACTTTAGCGGGTGAGTGAGGTTTGTGTAAGGAATAAATCACCAGCTGGTTAGGAATCGATTCGAATCGCCATCGCTCCTGGATAGTGAGCACTTGACTTGAGTTACTTCATCGTAGTAAATGTTTATGGAACACTTGGACAGTTATAGTGAATATGACAGTATGGAAGTTGTTTAATGATCAGTGGTTATCATTATCTGCTTAATCATATGTGTGCTCTAGTATAGGTGCAAATCTAGTTGACAGGTTAATAATAATTAACTTGACAATAATGCTTTTAAAAGGGTTCTTGAAATGCTAAAAATGTTTCTTTTGCAAATGAGTCAGCTACCCTACTATAAAACCCTTCATAATCCTTGGTGTCATTTATTTTCGGTTATGTCGGGTAAGTCTAGCTGAGTATATTCTCGTACTCAGGGTTTTATTCCCACTTGTTGCAGATGGGCAGATGTATTACGGCTACTGTATCAACTGCCTGTATCCTGCGATGGGTGATGCTTAGGACCATGGGCATGGTCATTCCTTACGTCTCGTCTAATGCTTTTGTTGGAGATGATCATTCGCTGGCATTATATTTGAACTCCGCGTGAGTGTGTGTGGTTTGAACAAATGGCTTCCGCTACTTTTATTCGAACTGGTTTTGTAATAACTATGTTTAAACTCTGATGTATCTGAGATTGCGAACTTTTATGTAATATGTGATGGTGACCGCTAAACTTATTACGATCTTGGCTGGAATGGAAGTTAGTTTGAAATCCTTCGTGATTTCACGGACTACCGGGTTATACGGGCTTAAGTTTGCTCAATCGTCTGCTCTGGCGGATGATTTTCTTACTTAATTTCGTATAATTGGTCGGTTCTGTTACACTACCATCCCTGAAAGACCATCAAAACATGATCATCTAATGAAAATCACAAGAAATGGTCAAAAATCAAACAAAAACAAGGCCATAAAACCTAACCTTGCGATCTAAATACTTGTAGAAGATGCGGCCATAGTTGAGTCTGTCTTGCTTCTTAACCTTGAACTCCGATGCTGCCTACACTCGTTGCGCTGCGCACAATCAAAGGGGGAGTTCCGGCCTCAGTCTCTTATCATGTCGGTTGACATTTTGAACCATAAGTGATATTGTATTATCACTGTAGGGTTGGAAAACCGATTATCCTCTGTTGGATGCAATTCCGGCAGTGATGGGAGGTTCCAACCCAACAGTGATGGAGGGTTCCGATCTAGCAGCGATTGCCTGTTCTGGCGTAGTGAATCCACATTTTGGTAGTGTGTATTCAAAAAACAAAAATCAATCACTCATTTTTTTTTTTGAAATCTGTCGCATCAATAGTGCTCCAAATATGTACTCATGCAAAAGTTGAGATACAAACTGCTTTTGAAAAAATCATATAAAGATGACAAATTTGAGGTGCATGTACACCTAGAAAGGCAAAATTCGTATGGAATTTTTTGTCATTTTTGTATGAATTTCTCTAGCTTGAGTTTACATCTCAATTTTTGTATGTGGGTACATGTTTATATGCACCATGGATGTCTCAAGTTACAAAAACAAGAGCAACCGAAATGCGTTTTTTTTTTAATTTTGAATTTGCATCCACCAAAGACGTACACAGTTTACAATTACATATTTTGCCTATATCCTCCATAAAGTACTACAAATCTATAATCAGGGTGTTTTCTTAACCTTTAATTTGTACTCTGTTTCTACTGCTTAGATTAGATTATAAGTTTTCAAATGAAAAAGAAAATCTTAGGACCGACCTTGGTAGATGGATCATGTCTTGAGTCCGGACTCCGGACGACATGTGAAAATTAAAACAGCCCAAACGACTGGGAGAAACGAGAGTCGAACACGTGCGATTAGGGGAGTCTGGGATTCTGGATTGGATGCGAACCGGCAACGGCACCGCCACCGGACTTGCTAGTGCTAGTTCATCATATATGCCGTCGCACGTACAACTCCATGTGTCGATTCCGGGCGTCAATAATCTTGTCAAGTCGTTCACCATGCCTAGACCAGATTCCTTCTCCATCACCCTTTTCCCCTCCCCCGAGAAAGGCGAGACCAAGCAACCAATACGACGACGACCACCACCTACTAATCGCCGCCGGAGTGCTTCACGTGTGCTGCAGCTGGTAGCCGGCCACTGCCCCTCGGAGATTCTGGACAGGGCGGTTCTCAACATCATCGACTACGCATACACGGCGCTGCTCGAGATCGCGCCGCCCGAGGGCAGCCAGCGCGTCGTCGAGGTCAGCGCGCCCGTCGACCCCGCCGACCCATACTCGCCTCTGGTCCACGTCGACGCCAGCTCCATGCACTGCCGCATCCGCCTTCCCTACAGCCGCCCCCTCCCCCTCGCAGGAGGACCAAACGGGCGCACGTGCATCGAGCAGATCAAGAATCACCCCGGTCCCTCCCGCGCGAGTCTCAGCGTCTCGCCGGCGGCGGTCCACCTGCAGGCCCGCGTCGTCGGCGCCGGGGACCGGAAAGTCCGATGGAGGTTCGTGGACTCCCGGCCGGACGCGTCGTCCGAGGGACTGCTCACGGTGCTGCGGACGATCGGGTCGCTCCTGGAGGAAGCGATCTCGCGGGAGACCACACTGCTTGAGATGGTGAGGGCGAGCGGCTTTGGCAGGAGCCCCAAGGTCGACGGGATCGTCACGGTGCGCACGGCTTTGGAGGAGATGAGAGGGGTGCTGGACGTCGACGCGATGATCACGCACCGGAGGCGCCAGAAGCGCTGCCGCCGTGTCCGAGAGATCAGCTGCCCGCCGACGGCCGAGATGGCGGCGGATGCCGAGATGCTGACCGATAGGATGAGAACACTGCACGTGTATGAGGTGCAAGATGATGCAGAGGTGCTGGCCAAGAGGCTGAGGACATTGCGCGTATGACATGCATGCCAGGCAAGGGCGATCGCTGTAGTCTGCAAAGTTTGGGAGATGAAGCCATGGACACGAACAGAGGGCCAAGCCGCCAGGCAGAGATGAAGCTGCAAAACCAAAGCCAATCTGCACATCTGCAAAAGCCTAGCTTGGCTAGTCGTTGTAAGAGTAGACAGTAGAGGTTGCTAATAACTAAATTGCTAATTCTGACAGAACGCTGCTGCACTTGAGGAACATTATCTTCCCATGCACAGCACGAAAATCTTCCCCTGTGTGTATATATCTCCTTTAAACTCTGCATCGTTCATGTTTGATGTTGGGTCTCTCCACTCTTGAGATGTTTTCTCCTAATGAAATTTATGTAGTCGTCGTCCAATCGATCATCCTAGCTACCTTCAGTTTGTGTTCAGTGGAGATTTGATGCTATGATTTTGGCAACAGGTAGCCGACTTTAATTTGGCTCTATTCAAAACACATCGGAAGTTTCTGACATATATATACAGAGAGAGTATATTCAGTAAAAAATAAGTTATTCTGTAGCCATCTCTATTTACGATAATTTTATATACTAATTTACGATAATGTCAATATATATTTACGATAGTTGGGTTACTATAACACATGGGGATATTTACCGTAACGTTATAGTAAACCACTTAGTAAGGAGTTACTATAATCTCGTAAATTAACATAGTAATTATCGTAACTCAAAGTGGCTACAGAATAAGTTATTTCGTAGCCAGCTACAGGGTAGTGTGTGTGTATATATATATATATATATAGAGAGAGAGAGAGAGATACAATAATTACTATACTAATTTACGAGATTATGGTAACTCCCTCATAAGTGATTTACTATAGCATTATAGTAAGTATCATCTTAAATTATAGTAATCCATGTCTCGTAAATGTGTATTGTCATTATCGTAAATTGGTACAAACATTCTCGTAAATCAAGGTGTCCATAGAATAAGTTATTTTATTAACAGCTATAGAATAGCCTTACCGTGTGTGTATATATATATATATATATATATATATATATATATATATATATATATATATATATATATATATATATATATATAACTTATTCTGTAGCCACTTTGAGTTACGATAATTACTATATTAATTTATGAGATTACACTAACTCCTTACTAAGTGGTTTATTATAACGTTATGGTAAATATCCACATGTGTTATAGTAACCAACTATCGTAAATATGTATTGACATTATCACTCTCCTATATATATATATATAGGGAGAGTATATTCAGTAGCCAGCTACAAAATAAAGTTATTCTGTAGCTACCTCTATTTACGATAATTTTATATACTAATTTACGATAATGGCAATACATATTTACGATAGTTGGGTTACTATAACATATGGGGATATTTACCATAACGTTATAGTAAACCATTTAGTAAGGAGTTATTATAATCTCGTAAATTAACATAGTAATTATCGTAACTCAAAGTGGCTACAGAATAAGTTATTTTATAGCCAGCTACAGGGTAGTATATATATATATAGAACTACTGTTCTGCAGCTGGCCATAATTACTATTCTAATTTATGAGATTACAATAACTCCTTATTAAGTGATTTACTAGAACATTATGGTAAATATCACTGTAACACCCCAGGTGTTTGCCACCAGTTAAGCAATGTGTTTGAGCTCAAACATGGCATATTAAGTGATGATGAAGATGTCAAGGTCAAACCTATGGAAACGAGCCTCAACTTAAACTTGGATATTGCACCCTTGCTTTACATATATGCCCTTTTCAAGATATATGCTTGGCTGGTGTTATTGGAATATCTTCGTGTATCTCACATCAATACCCATCTATATTGATCCATGGAAAAGTTTCGTGAAGTTTGGAATCAAGAGGTCACATGAAATGACGAGTTATGTCCTTACTTGAATTATTTTATATAAGTGAAAGTATGTGTCTCTCAACGTGTTAGCGGGGACAGCCGTACTTGATCTTGTATAAATTGGACGGTTCTGTCACAGCTCGTATCAGAGCAAGATTAAGCATAATACTATCATGTACATAGTTTTAAAAACAAAGTTTTGGTTTTAAAATTCCTATTTTGACTAAAACTTTAGCTACAGGCAAATTTGTCAAAACTTATTTGCAAAACTATGCTAGCGACATCCTTCTTTATGCCTAGTTAAGGTTTATTAGGTGGCTATCTAAGTACTAACATGGGGGGTTTTACTTTCGTCGTCCATACGGCGTGCTATTGTATGGATGCCATTCACTTGAATGGTAATGTATGGATCAATTGCCTCTACGCCCAGGTAAGTGTGAGTTGTGAGAGCATGACCGTCCAACTATCGGTCTAGGGGAGAGTTAGCTGTGGTTACTGGAATATTTACATGTTACACACATGTATATATGAAGGTACTTAATTATGGGTATATCTGTTGGATAGCCATGGATACTGAAGTATATATATCTGGGGATGTATATATGGAGAGTATCTTAGTTTACTGCTTTCATTGTGTGATTATTTATCTCTTGTGGGGATGGGATGCAATGAATTTGCCTGCAGGTACGCTAACCACGAATGCGTAGCTTGAATGTAGCTGACGACTAGTTATATATCGAGAGAGTACGTGTTATGCCACCGACATAGAACGTGATTGCCACCTTAGGCTGGCAATTTCGTGAGGACGAATAGGACGAGCATGCATCATGATTGTGCTTGTGCATAAATATGCTTCCCTTCCTTTGTTCTAGTACTAAGTAACTTGTGATCGATGTATTGCACTATCTTCCTTGTGTGGAGTTAAACAAGAATGCCTTGTTCCATGTTGCTTGAATAGGAAGTGCTTGAGAAAAGTGTGTGCTTAGCCTTGCTAGAAATAATTGTGGTTACATGCTTAAACCTATAATGTCATCTAGTTTAGCCAAGTGGTGGGTATGTATGCTTGTTATCTAATTAGTGCCGTAGTTATCACCCCTTTTGTCCTCGGTAAGCATACGAGTGTTGAAGAGCGCTATCCTAGAACCATGTCCAAGTTTTGGTAATCTCATGGTTGTCATTTTCAATTAAGTTCTCTCTTAGGAGCCTGAGCCTGTACATGTGGTTGCTAGCCCTTGAACATTGCGCTACGAAGACCTTTATCCATGCCTTTGCTTGACCTTCGACCCAAGCTTAGCCCCCTTCTTTGCTCGCATGTTTTGTGGTTGTTCCGCGCCTGTGTGGGAGGACCTTGCTCAAAAATCCTTGTTAGATCTTATTGCTCCTTCTTCTACTGATGATCTGGTGCAACGCTAATCGCTATCTACCCTGCTTTGGAACCTTTTCCTCGTAGATCATGTCGTTGCTTTATCAACTGAATCCTTAGTCAGTGCCTTGGCTCTGTCCCTTGAATCTTGGTTGTTTTGTCTCCAACTCTCTCAAGTCTATGGACATTTATCAATCTTGATCTCATGTTGCTGCTCGATAAGACCAAATCTCATGTTAATCTTTACCTGGTGATCATCATGGTGGACACAATGTGTTTATGGAAGTTAAGCAAGAGTCTCCTGCTTAGTTGCCTTCAACAATTAGGCTATGTTCTTTTGCGCTGTGTTTTGATCTTCTGATCGCCTCCTTGTTGGCTCTTAACCTTGTGACTACCTTTGTTTGCTATCCTTCCTTCGCATAGTGCTTGCTCCTATGCAACCAAATTTGTGCCACATAAAAATTCTTGTGGGTTGTATGTTCAGTAATGGTGCCACGATTAGCGATCTACGGTGCCGTGACAAAACCGAGAGCCTCCTGTTGGCGCGCACACAAGGTTGTGCTACTCGGCACGCGCTGGTATCGAGGTTCCTAGTCATGATCCATTGCAGAACTGCACCGATGTGTTATTTTCAAGTGAGCTCTTCCTTGGTTATCTCTCCTTATCATGTCAAGAGATTTATATGTCAAACTAGATGCAATAGGACTCCCTTTTGAAGTCATCCACCGGTTAACCTTTGAAGAACAGGTCACTAACAGGAACATAAATAGACTGCAAGAGGTGGTAGACAAGTGACTACTTGACTATCCCTGTAATAACGTCGGTCATCTAGTGAACAACTTATGTCATCCATGTTGGATCAGAAAGGACCCAACACTTAATATTGGACAAGTTAGCAATCTAATGTTAATGGATGGCGATATCATGTGGTGTAATAGGTCACCAGGTGCTCATGAACCTCCCATTCAAGTTCTTGATCTGTAGGTGCATGATGGTCATACAGTTGAAATCAACCATCTCTAGTGTGACTCCTTATCTACTGACTTCGATGGCGACCGTCTGTTCGTGCCTCGATTGCAATTATTGTTGTGGTCAAGAGTAAGAATTTAGAACTTTGAGTGTTGAGAGACAACTGATTAGTTACCCATAGTAAGGTTAATCTCCAGCTAGGTAGTGACTTCTTGGTAGCTATGAAGGCTATGTCTCACAGAACAATGTTAGACGAAGAAACAACAAAGCCGGTCAGCAATGCAAGTACTGTCTTCTTCTCCGAGCCCGGTGTCGTTAAGACAACTCCATCTTAGACAATCAAATGGGTAGTGCAAGGTACTGTATTAGCTAAGTAAGGAGCTATAGAAAGCACATCCCTAGTTTCGGTCCGTATCATTATATATATGGTGCTATCAAAAGATTGTTCTAGATTCTAGGGGATGAAGCACCGAAGGGTAATCAGAGACGTTTCCTTATTATGTAGGACTACCCCTCCACGAGAGTATGCATTGTGCCCTACAAAAATAGCCCACCAGTCCAATGCTTGCGCATCGTCGAGTTGGTGTCTAAAACGATGGTTGAAGTATTACCAGAGAAGCATGTGAGGAAAACTCTAGCCCCCATCCTCAGCTAGGGAAAGGCTGCTGCTGCTATGAGAAAGATTAGAGAGTGCAAAACACACACCTTAACGTGTGAAGCAAAGAAAAGGGAGAACACGAAATCTGTCCAGATTTTGTGGCACTAAACCGGTTATCTTCAAGCCGGCGATTA